AATCACTAGTAGCCTAGTGGCAGGAAGCTGCACTGTAATAATCCCAAAGGCACGCAGTTTGAATCCATCAGCTCCTCTGTGGGAGAAGGATGGGCAGTCTCCTCCCGTGTGATTAACTACCTCTGAAAATCCTCCAGACGGTCAGCTATGGGACGGTTCTGACTCCACACAACAACATAAATAAAAGTCATTCAGTTAGAAATGACACGGAAAATTCTTACAGGAATTAGTGGGAGAGCTCAGATCATCTTAGAGAATTCTTAGAGTATCTGCATTCTTGTGTGACTTGGGCAAATAATTTATGTTTTCTGTTTTAAATCTGTAAAACCAGTGTAGTAATTTATGAAATAGTTATTTTCTAAAAAAAAAGTTTCTACATTTTGGAAACATTCATGTTTCAGTGAAGTTAACAGGTCATTTAAGCAAACAAGGGATTAATACAGAGAATTGGGCATTTGTTAAACTCTATATAGATGCTGGGACAGTGAAGTTAAAGTCCCCTTCCTCAGACAAAGCAACCAGCCTGTATTAGGAAACGGCTCCTGCAGGGAGTACATGCAGGGCTGACTTCTAAACCACTCCATGTCTGTGCAGCTGTGGAATAATGGGCTGTGGAACATGGAGTCTAGCCGTTACTGCCACCACTAAGGTCCACCAGCACTAGCTTCTTACACTCCTGCAAACGAATGGCCTCTGCCTTGCAAATCTTGTGTGTGCCTGTCCCAAATAGACTGTACATCACATCTACCCACAACCACAAGGGAGTCTGGGAAGTGAAGGGCTTTTAAATGTGTGCATTCCTGTGTCTGAGATTGGGGGGGGAGGGGAGAGAGAGAGAGAGAGTGTGAGTGTGTGTGTGTGTGTGTGTGTGTAAGAACCCAGGAGAATATTTATTAACGTTTTGGACATGTGTAAGATCTGTGCTAGCTGCAGGCTGTAGGAAAAATGTGTGAAGGCCAATGACATAGTGGTCTTAAAGTGCTTTGAATGCAATAGAAAATATTATCACATTGATTCACAAAATGGCACCGGGTGTGTGTGTGTGTAATGTGGCATTAAGTTTGGGGGACAAACTTTAGAATTAGAAAACCTAGACTAGTTTCTGGCTCTCCCTTTGCCTAGCTGCCTGCCAGAGAAAGCCTTCTGAATATGGGAGTGATTTTATCCTCTGTATATGTGTCCTCTGCTTCACTAAATTCCACTTGAGCTTCCTCATTTTTATCCACAGAGCCTAGAGGAATGCCTGGAAGGAGCCGCTCAGTAAATATTTGCTCAGTGACTGAGCAAATGAGGGTCACGTTGTCCCTGACTAAGGTCATTGTATAGTGACTCAACTGAGGAGGTGGGGAGGAAAGGAGCAAGGGCGAGGATGGGCATGAGGGGTGAGGACGGAACTGTCACCTTGTTTGCTTTAGAGAACCATCTTGTTCTCTAATGTATCGAGCATTGGAAACTAGTTGGAGATTAGCAAAGGCTCAACATATACAGTACAGTGTATTCTCTGGTTTAACTCGAAGCCCTAAAATATTTAAAATTTGTGGGATCTTTTTGGAAATAGATCCTTTCATTGCCTAGAACTGTGTCCCTAAATAATAACCATCTTCCTTTTTCTTGCTTCTCTGCTAAGCTTCAGGACATGTGGTGAACTGTCCTTCAGTTCTCTACCAAACCTTCTAACTGCAGAGCAAGCTGGGTGGTAGCTAGAGGGTAAAGGGAAGTGAAGAGTGTGCCCCAGAGCCGGCCTCTTCTGCCCTCTGTCCCACTTGTTCTGGTCTCTAACATCCCTCACTGTGCCATCTTGCCTTTTTCAATTTTCACATTTGCCCCTGGGCCAGGGAGTTGGTCACTCTCTCGGGTCTCTGCTAAGAGTTTGGAGCTCATCCCTTTCCTTCTGACCGCACACAGCTATGACATGGTTACCTGGATTTAGTCCCAGGCTGCGAGGGGGGAAAGTTTATCCTCATTCTAATCTGTTACAGCCCTTCTAATATCTTGGAGTTATATGACCTGGTATACAGGCCCTGATTCTGCAAGATTTTTCCCATATGTGTATATAGTCAAAACAAAAAAACTGTAGTAACTCTTCGGTATTAATAAAAATTTGTCTTTGAAGAACTTTGTCTCTAAAGTATTGATGTTAATCCCTTGAACATTCATGTGCACTGTTTAACACGATAAGAAAATGAAATCTATAATGGTTTCATTAAAAGAGTTATTTTTTTTTCTATAATTATATTTTATTAATTTTCATAAACATTTACAGAGATTTGGGGCTTCCACTCATTCATTGTTGCACTATTCTCTCTACCCTCCTCCCAGTTTGTTCTTGTCCAAATGCCACAGTGCTTGTCAAAGCCAGTTCTGATTAATCTTCTTTGTCAGTGTGTCCTTTGCCATTCCCTATCACTCCTCCCTGAGAGAGACTTCACCCTGAGTCATAAGGAAAAGGGGATGGCGTATTCTCTTAGCTACTTCCTGCTGAAAAGGGACGCTGTGGGTTTCAGGGTGAAGATCTTCTCTCACTACTCTAAAGGGCCCCTTTGGCAGTAGGAAACACATAGACTATTATGGAGATTGATTTTGGAATTTAGATGCACTCTTATTGATTGTGCTTGGCTGTACATGTTCATATCCTTGAAGATGTATCATGGGGGTGTTGCAACCTAGAAGACACAAATTTGACTAACAAGTTATAAGTACATGAGTCCAAAAATTATGGAAAAGTAAAAGAAAAGATTCTTTCATTGTTTTACAAACCCTCCCCCAGGTCCCCTCCACCATGTAGCCCTCGCTCTAGTCTCCTGTGATGACAGAAATACCCAGTTATATCTCTCTTTTAAACGGTTCTCTCCCTCCTCTGTTTCAGTGCAGTTACATTATTGAACCCATCTTACTCAGTCTCTCTAAAAGAGTTAGTAGTATTTACCTCATTTAATGTGAATTTAAGAGTATTTGGACTATTTTCTCCCCTTTGAATAATAAACCCACGATGAAAAATGTTTATTTAAAAAAAATTCTAATTAGAATTTGAGTCTATCTGTTCTCATCAGAAGATACATACAAGTTAATAAATATCCAGTTGTGATTGGCACAACATTTGTGGTTATTTCCTATCCTCCATTATCCTGTTGTCATCTATTGATTCCAACTCTTGACACCCCTGTACGCTGTAGAATTGAACTGCAGTGCAGGGTTTTCAAGGCTGTGTTACTTTTTGGAAGTAAATGACAAGCCTTGTCGTTCACATAGAGACTCTTATTTTCTATCTTAAGGGAATGTAAACAATGGAGAAATGGTATGTAAATACAAAAGAGATGGTATCAGGTACTGCAATTTTTATAGTGCTCTCTGACTCTGCCCAGCTCTATGTAAGATTGTATCTATGGTATGGTTAATTAGTAGACCGGCACAGCTCCACAGGAGAAAGACAGGCAGTCTCCTCACGTGTGACGCACGCCTCTGAAAACACGCTAACGGGTCAGCTATGACTGACTCTGTCTCACTCTACTACAGTGAGGAATTTTTTTTAAAGAATTGTTTCGGACGGTTGCAGATTTTGAAGTTCTATGTAGGATCTTCTTTGGCAATGAAAATCATTTTCCAAGATACGACTTAAAGCTCGGATGTTTTTACTTAGCTTACTTCTCAGGTTGAGTTAGGTTGTGTCACTGAGCTCTGAGGACTAGCAGCTCAGTGTACTTGCCATCTTTACTGAAGCTGCAGTATAGCTTGCTTTCTTGTTTGTTTTCTTATCCCCTCAAGAGTAAAAGTAAATCTCCTGTGGTCTGGTCACATGTGTGCTGCTCAGTGGCCGTAGACACACTGGGCATAACACTGTATGCATTCATTTCAGCTCTACTATGACCCAATCTCACGCAGTTAAATTTGAATGTGAAATGATTTCAGGTAGGTAAAGGGAGGATTTATTTATATCCTTGAACGTGAGGGAAAGCCCTAAGTAGAAGCCTCCTATAATCACCTTATAGTATTTCATGTGTGTGAAAAATCTGTGTTTAGTAAGCCACTTGACTTAGCTTAGATGATCCCAGTTTCATTGGCAAAATCCAGAGCAGCATAGTCAGAAGCAAAGCAAGTCAAACAACTCTCCATCAGGCCTAATCAAGATGTTGACCTTGACCACATCAGTGTCATAAAGCTTTCTTACAGCTTGTTTGATTTGGTTTTTCTTGCCCTTGACTTTGTGTCAAGTGTCTGGTTATCTTCTATTTTCTTCATGGCTGACTCTGTGGTCAGGAGAAACTTGATGATGGCATAATGGTCAAGCTTATCCTGGGAGTGCTCTTCTGGGGATATTTGGGCTGCCTTCGGAATCTCAGCATCGTAGGCCGACAGAAGGTGGGTGACATGAGGATCATCTTATTTTGTGGCTGTGTCTGCTCTTCACTGCCTTCTTGGCCTTGAAGCCTTTGCTTAGGCTTCAGTTTTGGGAGGGGCAGGGGCTTCTTTCTTTGCTTTCAGAGCCATTTTCTTTATAGTATCTCTTGTTTGTCATTTTTCTTTAAATCTGTTTCATTTTGATCTCCCCAAATCTGAAGAGAAAGTAATTGTAATTTTGCTTGAAACCAGAATGATAAGAGTTTTTTGCAAGAGGGGACTGCAGTTTCCTCTAATATATTATAAGTGGGCAATACTTGGAATTTTTTTGCAAAGGAAGCCATTTAATGATGAATTATACCATATGTTTTGTTTTTATAGTGTCCACTTATTATGTCTTTACCATCACATTCCTGCAGTCAGATGATCACTTGGCACTGTTTAATATAGGCCAGCCATACAAGCTAGGGGATTTTTATTAGACTTCAGAGTTGTTTTTAAACAAATGCAGGGAATTCATGTGTTTTCAGATGTTTACCGTATCAGTTAACTAAGCATAATTGTCTTCTCATTCTCAGGTGCTCTTGGCAATATGAAAAGGCAAGTTGTGATTTCTTTTCCTTTTTACCTAATTCAACTAAATTTACCATCTCATTTGTTGGCAGGACTTTGTGTCACTGTATCAGGACTTTGAAAACTTTTATACAAGAAACCTCTACATGCGAATCAGAGACAACTGGAATCGACCGATCTGTAGTGTGCCTGGAGCCAGAGTGGACATCATGGAGAGGCAGTCACATGATTACAACTGGTCTTTCAAGTGAGTCATTTGCAAAAAATATTCTGAAAACATCACTGAGAGTACTCTCATTTCTTTGCATATTGTTTTTTAGTACTGGAACTTTTAAGGGAGATCTGGTGATCTAGTGGTAAGGAGCTGCGCTGCCTACCTTGAGGCACAGTTTGAATCCACCAGCTGTTCTGCGGGAGAAGAATGGACATTCAATCCCCATATGATTCACTGCCTCTGAAATCCCACTAGAGGATCAGTTATGAGTTGGTTGCAATTTGATGGCACATAACAGTAACAGTTGGAACTATATAATTTTTCTGTTATGTTATATTTGATAGTAAGTTACATAGTAATTGAGAATACAATTTTACTTAGTTAAAAAAAGACCCCCAACAAAAAGATAAAGGTAAACAACCCAGTTGCAAAAGGGGCACAGTATATGAACAGACACTTCACCAAAGAAGACATTCACATGGTCAACAAACACATGAAGTAGTGTTCAGAATCCCTAGTTCTAAGAGAGATGCAAATCAAAGCAACTATGCGATATCACCTGACCCCAGTAAGAATAACAAAATTTAACAGAACAGCAAACAACAAATATTGATGAGGTTACTGAAATACTTATTCACTGTTGATGGGAGTGTAAAATGGTACAACCACTATGGAAAGCAGTATAGTGCTTTCTCAAAAAGTTGGAAATAGAAATACCATTTGACCCAGCAATTCCACTACTGGGAATACACCCTAAAGAAAGCAGAACTGCCACCAAAGCAGATATATGCACATCCATGTATATTGGGGCTTTGTTCACAATAGCAAAGAGTTGGAAACAATCCAAGTGCACATCAACAAATGAATGGCTAGAGAAGCTATGTTATATTCACACGATGGAATATTACGCAGCACTGAAAAACAAAGAACTCATGAAATATACAAAATGGGTGACCCTGGAGGACATTATGCGGAGTGAAATATCTCAGTCCCAAAAATACAAATATGGCATAATGCCACGTTATAAAACAGGACTGACATGGAGATTGTGGGTAAACTGAGAAAAGAGGGGATGGGATAAATAATGTACACGGCATTGAAACAGATGAGGGAGAGAACTGTATAAAAGGAATATATGATTAGGTGTTATTGTCATGACAAGAATCCAGAGTAAGAGCTGCATAGTAAAGTGGTTTGGGGGTAGGGAGACTATAAGAATAAGATAACTTCCCCCCCCCAAAAAAAGTGAACTGGGGAGAGGGGGGACAGGGAGGAAAATGTGCAGCAATGACTGAATGGAAATCCAAGTTCTAAACGTTCATTAAAATCTCAATTTAAAAAAAAACCCACTAGTACAAAAAAACCCCAAAAAACCAGCATATTATTTCATTTCTGTTGTGCCAAAACTATGTGTCTTAAATTAATTTTTAGATATTTTTCTATAAATGATTCAAGGTTGCATGGAGTGTTTTGAATTAAATTATTAGGTGGTTTAGAATACTTTTTATCATCTTATTTTTTATTGTTTAGATAATGCAAGTTTTCCATGAAAATTCAAAGTGAAGTTTCACTGTGACAGCCAACCTCTGTCCTTTTGTAAATCTATTTCCCAACAAATAAATCCTCCTATACTCTCAGTGGGAACCACTCTTACTAGTTTGTTGTGTGTTATTTTCCCTCTAGATCTTTCCTGAGAGATACATATGTATGTAGTATATCTACTAGAGTCATGTCTCCACAGTTTTCTGATTTACAGGAATAGGGCCTTAACCGCATAAGTTAGGGAATCCTGGTGGTTCAGGGGATAGGAACTGGCCTTCACTAACCAAAAGGTTGGCCATTTGATCTCACCCAGTAGCTCTGTGGGAGAGAAACATGGTGATGTGGTCCCATAAGAATTACAGCCTAGGAAACCTTAGGGAGCACTTCTGTTGTGTCACCTGGGGTCACTCTTGAGTTGAAAAATCATAACGCCTGTGAGCAATAACTGTAATTGCTTCACCATTTGCTTTTTAAAATCTGTAGTACTATCCTTCTTGTGAGTATATTATTTCTCGTGGCTGTTTGTGTGTCCTGTCTCATTTGATTTTATTCTGTTGAAACACAGGTACACAGGGAATATAATTAAAGGTGTTATAAACATGGGTTCCTACAACTATCTTGGGTTTGCACGGAATTCTGGACCATGTCAAGAAGCAGCTGCGAAAGTCCTTGAGGAATACGGAGTTGGCGTGTGCAGCACTAGGCAGGAAATTGGTAAGTATAGGTTACATTTCCCTGCAGAAAGACCTTATACTCAATAGAGTAAAATGTCATTGATAAAAAGAAAGACCCTCAATGAAATGAATTAACACAGTGGCTACAACTGTGGGTTTAGGTATAGCGGAGCTTCTGAGGATGGCTCAGAACCAGCAGTGTTCTCTTGTGCATCTGGTCACTGTGAGTTGGAGCTGAACTTGAGAACATCTGACAGCAAAGTTGCATTTGACATATGGCTTTTTTTTTAACTCAGAACAGAATAATACTGATAACTAGAGTGTTAAACAGACAAGCACTCACTTTGCAGTAAAACTTAGATCACATAAAGAATGTGTCCTAAAAAAAAAATTTTTAAAAAAAGGATGTGTCCTTTTTCTTAAATAAATGGATCTTACACTACTTCCAACAAATACTGAGAGATATTTACTCTTTCCAACTGTATTATATATAAAGAATGTCTCTTAAGAAATGTCCCTAAGTATCTATTTCATTTATAAACTTAATGTTGACTTTATTTTGTCTTGCAATTAGTAGTTAAGAGTGTCACTTAATAGACCTGAGTGTATGAGCAGATGACAGTTCATCTGTTTTCATACAGGTAAAATAGGGTAAAAATAATTTCAGCATAATAAAATCTGTGGATATTTTTTCTATTTAAATTTTCATTCAATTGTTCATACACATTTTGATCAAAGGGTTATCTTAAAAATGGCGAAGCTTCCTCTAATGTACTTTGGGCATGTTGTTTTTAGGTGCTGTTGAATCTAGTAACAACTCATAGTGATCCTGTGAATAACAGGTCTGAATCCTGTCCTATCCTCTGCCATCCTCACCATTTCTGACATATTCTTGAACCTATTGCTGCAGTGATTATGTCAGTGTTGTTAGGAGGGGCTATTCCTTGGAAAGGGACATCATGCTTAGCAAGGTGGAGGGTCAGCAGAAGAGAAGACTCTCCGTGAGATGGCTTGACACAGTGACTTAGCAGTGGGCGCAGAGCTACTGTTCACACGGTCACCATGAGTCTTACTTGACTCGGTGTCACCTACCAACAATAATTCATGTTAAGTATTAATAAGTCAATTACTCAAGAAATGTTACTTTTATTACATGAATTTTTTTTCTTCTTGAGATTATACACAGTAAAACCCATACCAGTTCAGCCTCCATGATTTAGATATTCCATTCTTTACATTCTTCAAGTTGTTTAGTTATTCTCACTCCCGTGTCTGTTATTCCTTCCTTCCTTTTTAAATTCCTGTCTTTCAGGTTACTGTTACAGTTTGATGTCATGTAGATAATTCTTAAAAGAGCCAGGACTTCAAACCAGTTAAAAAATGGTTCAATTAAAAAAAACAACAACTTGTCGTTTCTACTGTAAATGTGGACTGCAAACCACATTTATTGCACATGTCTTTTGATTCAGGTAGAAAACACAGCCTTGTATGACACTGATTAACAACCTCCAGTCGAATGGCTTTAAATGTGTGTTGTAATGTTGCTCTCCAGAAGTTCTGCCCGCAGCCCTTCCTCCTGAAACTGTTGGGGACCCGATGCAGGGAATGGATTGTTGGTATGGTTAGCCACTGTCTCTGAGTTGGACACAGCTGTTTGTTTCCTCCTTAGGGTGAAAATACAATGGGGAACAGATCCGTTGCTGTGCAGCTCTTACAGAAGCACTTGTTTGCCATTTGATCTATTGATAGAATTGAAAATGGCAATTGCTGAATCATTTTTCACCCATTAAGAACTCTGAAAAGAGTATCTTGCTCAAAGCAATCTCCCCCCCATTCCTTTTCTTTTAAACTACTAGACAGGGTTCATTCAGATCGGTTGTTTATAGGGTTGCTATCGATCACACTCAGTAACACCTAACAACAACAACAAACTAAATTATTGTTCAGTTTTCAAAAGACAGTAGGAGGTATTTTTGGCTTAAGGTTTAAGAATTATTTCAGGGCAATAGTGTTAGGAGTTCATCTACCTTCCATGGTTTCAGAAAATCCGGCACCAAAGAGAATTTTTAGTTCTGTTCTATATGTTCCCTCATTTGATCAGAATTATTCCATGGAATCTTTAATCAAAATATGTAGTAATTATAGCCAGACACTATCCAATTCTGTAGTCTTGTGGCAAAGGACGCAATGGTTTATGGAAACAATTAGCCACACATTTCCATATCTTCCTCCTATTCCTTATCTTTCTCTGTTGTTTCAGGTGAATAGAGACCAATTATTGTGCCTTGGGTGGCTGCTTGTAAGCTTCAAATCCCCAGGCATCATGCAACAAGCTAGGAGATACCACAGACGCACTAAGCAGGTTATTAGGCCAATTAACTATGCGATCTCATGAAACTGTGATCCTAAACTTTCCAACCGAGGAGCCCAAATCCCACAAGGTATTTGGTTGTGCATAAGCAGCCTCTGCCACTATTCCTGCCTCTTTGTTTTAATGTATTTATACATAGCACACTTACTGATAGCAATTACAGCAATCAGCTCTGCAAAACTACCCTTAATCAGTGTGGTTTCTCAGTCATACTTTACCAAACTTTCCAAGCAAGGAGCCAAATCTCGCAAGATAATTTGGTTATAAATAAGCAACCTCCACAACTTTTCCCCCCAATTTGTTTTAGATACAAATATTACACTTGGAGCAATTACAGTAATCAGCTCTGCAGTCTTTCCGTGTGGTTTTACCATCACTGTTCACCACTCCCATCCTCCCTCTTCTTTCTGTCCCTGATAACTACTAATTCATCTGTATACATTTGCCTTTTGTTATTGGCATTTCTTAAACTGAAGGAACTTTGGAGAACAAATTCAAGCCTCAGTTGTAATACTTAAAAGTTGCTATGGGCAGAATGTTGAATAATCCAGGAAATGTCATAAGAAGATGGAAGGAATAGACAGAGTACTAAAAAGAATTGGCCAACAATTTCATGAAATAGCATGTGATGAAGAAGCAATGGTAATAAAGGAGGAAGTTCAAACTGTTCTGAAGAAATTGGCAAAAAATTAGGCCCCTGGAATTGACAGAATCCCAACTAACATATTTCAACAAACAAATGCAGCCCTGGATGTACTCATTGGGTTGTGTCACATAATCTGGAGGAAAGCTACCTGACTGACTAACTGACTAGAAAAGATCCATATTTATTCCCATTTTGGGGGGAACAAAAAGGGTAACCCAACAGAGTGTGGAAATTATCAGACAGTGAGCTCTGGTGGTCTAGTGACAAAAAGCTGTGCTGTAATCCCAGAGGCACGTGTTTTAAATCTTACCAGCTGCTCCACAGGATGGGGAATCTCCTCCTGTGTGATTAACTGCCTCTGAAAACCTGCTGGAACGTCAGCTATGGGTCAGTTCTGACTCTCTGGTACACAGCAACAACATCACCAATAACACATGCAAGCCAACTCTTGCTGAAGATTATCCAAAAATGACAAGAACATTGACAGAACTGGCAGGAATACAAGCCGGGTTTAGAAGAGGCCATAGCCCTAGGGATATTATTGCCAGTATCAGATGGATCTTGACTGAAAGCAGAGAATACCATAAGGATGTTTGTGTTTTATAAACTGTGCAAAGGCATTTAACTGTGTAGGTCACAACAAATTATGACTAGCATTCAGAAGAATGGGAAACTCAGAACACTTCATTGTGCTCATGCAAAACCTATACTTAGACCAGGAAGCTTTTGGACAAATAGAGCAAAAGAAGACTGCATGATTCAAGTTAAAGAAAGGAGTGCATCAGGGTTATATTGTTTCTCTATACCTTTTCAGTCTGTAAGCAGAACAGATCATTTGAGAGGCTGGACTTTATGAAGAAGAATGTGATATTAGGATTGGAGGAAGACTCATTAACAACCTGCATTATACAAATGATACAACCTAGTTCGCCAGAATTGTAGAGGACTTAAGCATTTGCAGCAGAAAGTCAAGGACTACAATCTTCAATATGGATTGCTGCTCTCCACCACCAGCCAGTTGGCAGCACCATGATGGAGAAGAGATTGAGGTTCTTAAGAATGTCATCTTTCTCAGATACATAATCAGTACTCTTTGGCACTAGCAGTCAGGAAATCAAAAGATGAGTTGTACTAGGAAAGTTGGCTGTCAGGAACCTCTCCAGAGTCCTGAAGAGCAATGATGTCAGTCTAGAGGCTAAGGTGCACCTGATCCAGCACATGGTCCTTTCAATTGTTTTTCTATGCATCAGAGAGCTGGATAGCAACTGAAGAGGAGAGATGAAGAATCAATGCCTTTGAGTTGTAGTGCTGGAGAAGAGTATTGGACATACCATGAACTACCAAGAGAACAAACAGGTCTGGCCTGAAGAGGGTGAAACCAAGCTGCTCCTTGGAAGCAGGGATTTAGAAGCCCTGTCTCACATATTTTAGGCATATTGCCAGGAGGGACCAACCCTTGGAGAAGAACTTCATATTTGGTCGAGTAGAGGGTGACCACAGAAGAGAAAGACTCTAATTAAGATGGGTTGACACAGTGACTGTGGCAGGTGTGTCAGAGATGATTAGGTTGGCTTAAGATAAGGCAGGGTTCAGAGCTATTGTTCATAGGGTCTCTATGAGTCATTGTTGACTGGATGGCACATAACAACACCAACATCTTTTAATATAGAAGAGGTCATAAGTTTTGTCCTTTTGTGATTTATGTCACTCAACATAATCTACTCAAACTCCAACCATACCATCACATGTTATCAAGATTGGTTAAGTAGTATCCCTTTGTCTTTTGTTCTTTTGTTGTGTTGTTTATCCTCCATCTTTTGATGGAGACTTGGCTTGTTTCCACCTTTTGGCAGCTGTGAAGAACCCTGATGTACAAAGTGTCTTTCTCAGGACTCTTTCTATTCTTGTTATTGCAAGTACCTGGGTAGTGCAGGCAGTTAGCATGCTCAGCTGCTGAAGAAAAGGTTGGAGGTTCCTTGGAAGAAAGATGACAATCTGCTTCCAGAAAATCAACCATTGAAATCTCCTTGAGACACAATTATGTTCTGACGCAAACAGTTGCAGAGTTGGAAATTACTCTACAGTAACTGGTTTACGTCATTATTTAAATGGAACTTTTTATATCATATATACAGTCTACAATTTCAAGGCTTTTAGTTTTGTTGCTAAGTGAAGTTTGTCAGGTCATTCCTGTAGTCATTCAGGCAATAATCATTCCAAAATCTCCTAGACTTGAGCATCACTGCCTTAGGCTAAGAAACATAAACACTTCTTCCTAGAAGTTATTCAGAGCTGCTCATAAAGCAGGTTCCAGTTAAAAGTAAGCACTTGTGGAGGTTAGAATGTGTTGAATTTCTTTGGGACATTTCCCCCCCCTAAAATTTTCACGTAGAGTCCTGGTGGCTTAGTGGTAACCAGTAGCATTGCCAACGCAAAGGTAGGTGATTGGAATCCACCAGCTACTGCATGAGAGAAAGATGGGCATACTTGTCCTAGGCGATTAGCTGCCTCTGCAAACATGCTGGAGAGTCAGCTATGAATTGGTTCTGACTTGATGGCGCAAAGCAACATTTTCATAGATGCTTATTCCTGTGTTCTTGTGACATCAGAAAGAGGCTTGTTACTTGTTTTCATAGATACCATAGGAGTGCTTAGATACGCTTAATAGTATTTGATCATAAAATTTCAGGTTATATTTTATTTATTTTTGAAGATTAAAAGTTAGTATTTTTCAATTTGGGCTCAATTTTTAAAGTATATTTATACATGTTGTATACATTTTTAAAACCTAAATAGTCAAAATTTTAATAATGTGAACCAAGAATAATTCAGTAAAAAAAAAGAAAAAAAGGAGATCTTTTTGTAGTTATCTAAACTATACTTTGCAAGCTTCATGATGAACATTTTTATTGTTTTGATTCCTCACAATTTTAATGCTCTGGAGGAGACTTGGTTGAGTCTTTCTTTGCCTTGTGTATTCTTGGCTTATTGACATTTATTATCTTCTAGAAAACAGAATCTTGAAATCTTTCTTCTTTTTATCTGCTGAGTAGTGTTAAAGTGTCTCCTTAAGATATTTCCATCCTGCCTCCTGGTTTAATCAGAACTGGTTGTCCCTAGGACTTCTCTATAGCTCAGTGCTGGCACTTTATTTTGGAGAGGAACGTTAAGTGTTGACTTGAGAATTTTCTTCCCCTGCTGTTTCAAATTCTTTATTTTCTGTAGCCCATCTTTTCTTTTTTTAATAAACTCTCTTATCCTCAAAGAGTTTATATTGTTCAGTAGTTTCCTGAAAGTTCATAGAACATAGTCTGTCTCTTGCTTATGTTGTGTATTTCCATTTCATTAATTATGTTAAGAATTATAGGTGTCTACTAATTAATTAAAAATGGAGGTTTTATGGGTTTTTTCCTTCCTCCTCTTTTTCCATTTGTTTTGTGATGTTTTTAATTTAACTAGAACGTTTTCTTTCTCCATCATTAAAACAAAGTATTTCTGGTTGGACCCATGGCATTTTATCAGTGATATGGTAAAGGGAACATTATGTATATAGTAATTATACCATACGTACTATACAACATCTAGTAATTATACCTTACATTCTTATGACCCTTTATATTTTATAAAGTACTTGAATATATTATCTCTTTCGACCTTTACAATTACATCATGTAATGTTTAGCAGATAAAAATCAGAGATGGAAATTTACTGACTTGCTTAAGCCTTGGGAACTAATAAAACCCAGGTTCTTCTGTCTCAGCATTGATGTCACCCTTCCTTCAGCATTAGCTCGTTGTTGTTAGGTGCCTTCCAGTTAGAACTAACTCCTAGTTGACCTTCCAGTGAGTTTTCACAGGCTCTGAATTGCACTGGAGGAGGTTTCTCCTCTCTCTCCAGCAAAGCAGCTGGTGGATTTGAACTGCAATCACTATTTGAGTAGTAATGTAAAAACATAATATAGATTTGTCCGTCAGATTCCAGTGGATCCAGTGGAGGAAGGTGTGTGTTGACTTTTTTTTTTCTTCTTGGATAATGGACCATCCTAAAACTTAAAACTCCAACAAACATTTAGCTGTTCATGGTTCTGCAGTTTATGGAGATAAACCTTATGGGCTCTCCTTAGCATTGTTACTGGGGCATGAAGACTGAGAATGGAGCATGCAGGATGGCTTCATTCACATGACTGACCCCTAAGCTGATGGCAGGTGTGGTTGCCGGTTAGCAGGCTATCTCTCTCTTTGTCGTCTCTTCCCTTCTAGAACCCTGCTTTCTCCTTTTGTTGTGTTATGCTCTTGTGTCAGAACCAACCCCTTGCAGATTCTCCAGTGGTTTTTCAGAGGTAGTAAATCACATGGGAGATTTGCTCATGTTTCTCCTGTGAAGCAGCTGATGGATTAGAAACATGTGCCTTTGGAATTGCAGCAAAGCTTCTTACCACAAGACCACCAGAGCGTCCTATTTTCTCCGTAGGGCCCCGCTTTCCAAAAGATTAGTTAAACTGCTTTGCGTAACAACTCATTTCAAAAGGGTGAAAATAGGCATTGTGAGGCCTTTTGGACCTACGCTTAGAACCTTAGAACAAACGGTGCAGCAGCATTGACTCTGTGTCGCATAGGTCAAAGCAAGTCAGAAACCCAGCCAGATTTATAGGGGAGGGATCATGGACCCCCACCTCCTGATAGAAGTTAAAGCACAGTGAACAGTGATGGGAGAAATTATTGGTCATTATATTTGCAAAAATTCTACCCTAGGTTCTGAGCCATCGCACATCATAATATGGACTCCTCCCTGATCTTTAGTCTGTAATGGTTGCAACATGTGGATTTTTTTTTAAGTGATGAGTAAATCTTAAATTTGGGATCTGTGACTTCTTCACACAGGAAACCTGGACAAGCATGAAGAACTGGAGAAACTTGTGGCAAATTTCCTGGGAGTAGAGGCTGCTATGACTTATGGCATGGGATTTGCAACCAATTCAATGAACATTCCTGCTCTTGTTGGCAAAGTAAGACTGTCATTTACCAGAACCTCCCTTTGTATAGATCTTGTTTTGTTTTGAGAAGCATTCAGTTTTGAACTTCAAAGTTTTCCCAAACTCATTACCATGTAGTCCATTCCAACTTGTGACAACCCAGTAAGACAGAGTAGAACTGCTCCCCAGGGTTTCGAAGGCTCTAGTTTTCACAGAAGCAGATTCCATGCCTTTTCTGCCATGGAGCAGCTGGTGGGTTCAGACTGCCAGTCTCTCAGGCAGCCAAGCACTTAGCCACCTGTCACCAGGGCTTCTTGTAGCTTAGTTTACTCCGTGATAGTTCTACTAATATTTCTACACAAGACTTAAAGTAATTGGTGCTTTTCTTGCTAAAACTCGTATTTATTTCTTCTTGCATTAGATGGCTTTTTGAATTTCAGTTTTTCTTCAACTCTGATAAATAACTTGTAAAAATACTAAAACTATGGAAGAAAAAAATTGTCATGGCAAATTATTTAATGATAAGTTTTTCTTATGTAGAAAAAAATTACTGAGATACATGGGCATATAGAATGTCTGTGCATGTTTATGTATTCCTTTTTCCCCTTATATAGAAATAACTTGTCAAGGAGGCAGCTAAAGAAAGAAAAAATAGGAGACTTTGAAAATGATATTTTTTTTTTAAATTTTATTTCATTTTATTCTTTTTTGTACATGTGCCATCAATTCAGATCTGACTGGTACAGGAGGAGATTGTCCTTCCTTCTCCAGCAAATCATCTGGTGGATTCAAACCACACATCTCTGGGATTGCAGTGCAGCTTTTTGCCATTTTAAAATGGTGTGTATTTGGTGAAAGCTTACACAACAATATCAGACTTTTTATTTAACAGTTTCTATACATTAGAGCTGCTCACCAAAAGGAGTTTCTGTCCACCAGCTGCACTGTGGGAGAAGGATGGGTTATCTCCTCCAGTGAGGACAGAAGCCCAGTGTCGGGTCACCATGGTTAGAAATGCATTAGACTGAGTTTGTGTTTTCTTTCTTTATGTATCACTCAGCCTCATTGGTCATTCCTCTCTCAATGTGTCAGCATTCTCATTGCCATTCTGGTTGGTCCATTTACATTGATTTGTCTTCCTATTCCTCCTTACCTTTTTGTCTTTATGTAGAGTAAATGGTAGGTCTCATGTGGATGACCATTTAGAGGAACACAGTATTTTTTTTAAATTGTGATATTTATTCTATGAGCCACTCTGTCCTTTGCCTGAAAGTTAAACTCAAAGAAAATAATTTGAGTTCCACATTTAAAGATTGTCTTAAATTGATAGTCTCTGGGGTTCCCCAAGACTCTACCAGTCCAGTAAATCTGGCTTTTTTAGGAATTTGAGTTTTGCCCTACATTTTTCTTTTGTTCTATCCAGAACTGTCAGTTTTGTCCCTGATGGGAACAGTTGATAGTGGTAGCCAGGCACCATCTGGTTCTTCTGGTCTCACGGTAGGTGAGACCATGATTCGTGTAGACTATTTGTCCTGGAGACTAGTTTTGTCTTTGAATCTTTGGCTTCTTTCTTTTTTGTTCCAGATATAAAAAGACCCGAGAAGCTACTTAAGAATTAGGATGTGAAACATTCCTTTTCTGCCATTTGATTTAGTTATAAGATTATGATCCTAAGCCCTTAAAGCCAGTAAATCAATCTTGATTATATATAGGAAGTATGTGTAACTGTGCTCCTTGTGTGTTTTATTTCATAAAGGAACATACATGCAATACACACAAGTTTGTATATACATTTCCTTATAGAAACACCTATATATGCACACCTGGACATTCTTACGTGCTTATTTGTAAGCATAATATATGAATTTATATGAACACATACATATATTTTGGCTGTTATTAGTGTTCTTGCAAAGTTATGTTTGTTGTGGCTTTTATCCAAATAGTCCCTTTTCTTGTAGACTTTTGTGTCATCCTTTGCCTTCGTTAAGTTGTGCTGTGTTTACCCACCTTTGATAATGTCTTTTCTGTCACCAAACAAATAAAAGTCTATTTTTAATAACAACAACAACAACAAAAAAACCCACCAAAAAAATCCCCAACACAAAATGAAATCTAATCTACTGTTGTCAAGTTGATTCAGTGCTTACTCTTAGTGACCCTGTTGTTGCTGCTGCTGCTCTTAGGTGCCATCAAGTCGAGTACAACTCTGAACCCTGTCCTATCCTGGTCCATCCTAGTCATCTCTGATGCTCTTGAGCCCGTTGCACCAGTCACTGTGTCAATCCATCTAGTTGAGGGTCTTCCTTTCTTTTGTTGACCCTCTACCTTTCCAAGCATGATGTACCTCTCAAGGAATAATCTCTCCTAAGAATGTGCCAAAGGATGTGAAATGAAGCTTTGTCATCTTTGCCTCCATGGAACACTCTGGCTAATTTTCTCCAAGATGTGCCTGTTAACACTTTTGACGACAGTCCATGGAATTTTCAGTACTTTTCTCCAATACTACCGCTAAAGGCCATCAATTCTTCTTCTGTCATCTTTATTCATTGTCCAGCTCTCAGGTGCATAGCAAGTGACTGAAAAGGGATGGCCTGAGTAAAACTGTCTGTAGGGTTTTCTAAGGCTGCAAGTCTTGGTAAACACAGTCTATTTCACCTATCTCTTAAAGAGTAAATGATGGGCTCAAACCACCAACCTTTTTGTTAGCAGCTGAATTTTTTAGCTCAGCTTCCAGTGACATAAAGCTATTTGTAAAAAAATAAAATCCTTGAATATATGAAAATTAAGCACACTTCTAAATAACTCATAGCTCAAAGAAGAAAACACAAAGAAAACTAGAAGACATTCCGAACTAAATAGAAATGCAGTGTAACTCAGTTTGTAGGATAAAGGCTAAACGTATGCTTGACGAAAATTTATAATGTTAAATGTTAAGAATAAGAAAAAGAGACCATAACTGACATCCAAGCAGATATATGCACATCCGTGTTTATCGCGGCTTTGTCCACAATAGCAAGGAGTTGGAAACAAACCAGGTGCCCATCAACAAACGAATGGATAGAGAAGCTGTGGTATATTCGGACAATGGAATACTACGCTGCATTAAAAAACAAGGAACTCATGCAATATTATTCAAAATGTGTGACCCTGGAGGACATTATGCTGAGTGAAATATCTTAGTCACAAAAGGACAAATATTGCATGGTGCCACTGCTATAAAATGGGACTGATATCAGGGTTGGGGTAAGACTGAGAAAAACTGGATAAATTGCGTATACTGCACTGAAACAGATGAGGGAGAGAATAATTTTAAAGCACTGTATGATAGGGTATTATGGTTATCACAAGAGTCCACAATTAAGGTTGCATAGTGGAATGTACTTGGGGCGGTGGGAGGGGTATGAGGGGATTGAGT